GGGGGGGCATTTTTTACTCTATCATCTTTTCCTTGCGATAGTATTTCTTTTAATTTTTTTATCGCTGACAGTTCTCGCAATATTTGTTATATTTGTATCGCTTCAATAAGAATTCTGGCTTTTACAAAATAATACTATTTATTCTGGTTTGGTGAAGTTGCTGACAGTGCTCTTTCATGATTGTCTTCTTTAGTAGGTCATAATGAAAGCATTTCTCCTCCCTTCCCTTATTCATCCTTGTAAATTAATATACCTTAACCATTTCATTAAAAACATTCAAAAAAAAATGAAGCTAAAAGTGCAAATGCAGCGACAAAAGAAGATACACATCAGAAGAGTGTTGGCTGTATTTTGTTTCATGTAAACAGAAAGTTAGAATAATTTATGCATATATCAGTAAACAGTCCATCCCAAATAAAAAGGTGTTCATTTATACCTGAAGAATATGCCATTTTGTTTTCTGATTGCGTAATTCAACAGCAGTTTTTGTGTTTACGGAAACATTAAACCAATCTAATAATGTAGTTGTGAATATCGAGTTGTTGTTGAATTTGCTCACTGTTCACAACTAATTTTCAGCATAGTTTTTAGTAACATGAAAACATATATTATTACCTTTCGATCTGATACGAAGTGAAAGTTGTCTTGCTTCGTAAAAAGATATATTTTTGCAATGAAAAAGTCAAAATTAGCTTTTTAAAGAAAGTTACACGGAAGAAAATGAGTTTGCAAAATCCAAAAAATATTCTTAAAAATGCAATATAACTTATGAACCTGAACATTTCTTATTAGCACGAATGTAAAAACATATCAATGAAAATAGCATTAAATTTCAAACTCAAGACAAAGTGAAGGCAAGTTTTACGTTCAAATCACAAGGATAAGTATCATATTGAAACATTTTTGTGTTCCCTAAAGCGCACATAGTTTGTAATGTACGCGACAATTATTACTCCTTCTTTCGTGTCCTCATCATTACCACTGAGTACAACCATTCAAAACAGTTTCTATTGCACTGCTCCGTATGACTTCATCACTCCGATCCTGGGACAAGAATTTTCGATTTGTCATGATATAGAAGAGTGAAAAGAGTGAGCACAGTGCAGTTTCTACTTTTTTATACAAAATTTTTAATTGGTAACAAAAATCACGGGGAACTTTCAGCCGGTTTATATATGGCAGTTTCTCCGTTTATTAACTGTTAAGAATGTGGATGACGGAGAAAAGAACCCAAGTGCGCCTAACTTTGAACACTACATTTGAACTTCTGGTCTGAAATTTATTTTCCGTCTACAAAGCGCGTAGTAGATAGTTGGTCCTCCTGATGAATCCTAATTTTAAATAATGAAAGCAGGGAAATTATCAAATGTTTCTAAGACAGATTGTATATTGTAATCGTCGAAAATTTTATATAAACCAGAAAATTAATGAAAATAAAAGAAATCAGGAAACTTTTCGTATGCATATAATAATACATAATTGGTAAATGAATATGATGAAAACGAATCAGCAATGCTGCTAAATCACACAGAAGATAAGCAAAGCAAAGCCACTGCAGTTTAACTTCGGTTTCATCTCTCACTTATCTTTTAGAGAAAATTAACATGCAAACCTACTAGTCATCCCTCTCTACTTTGCTTTGCTTTGATGAGGTCACGTCTTGCAAGAATAAAAAATTTACATGTACTGTTAGTGATTGATCGGTGACACTTCCAGCTTCGTTCATTGTTTATTGTAGCAAATTTTCCATCAATTTTTTAATCGCTGGAATTGCATCTGGACCTCCACTTTGTAATAGCGCCAAAGCTGCTAATGCACTTTGCTAAAATAACAATTTCACATTGCAATGAACTGATTTGCATACTTTAAATTTGAACTCAAACGAATAGAATAAACGAATTTATTGATGAACCTGTTGTTTTAAAATTGACGCCATTATGCTCATCTCCAGAATAACTAAAAAAAAATTTTGAATTCCCAGATCCAGTCCTGCATTCAGTATTTGCAATTTCATTACCTGATAACCAATTAAAATTTCTTCAAATATTTCAATTTGACGTCTGAGCTCTTCCTTTTCATGTTCAAATTGTCGTAGTGTTGTGTTCAGTCCCGTTAACTGAATATCCAGGTGGTCATTTTCTGTTTCATGATTCAAAATTTTCCTTTCAGAGGACTGATTTCTCGTTTCTGCTACACCACATTTGTCTTTTAACACCTTCAAAACAAATACTTCCTTTGTTAAACACAAATTTAGGAGACAAGCATAACGGCGTTCAATTTTTGGATTTGATATTTTTCCTACCAGAAAATCACTCAGCGAAAATTTCCATTGTACCTATGTGATATGGCATGCCTAACTTAGAGCACTTTCATTGCTAAGCGAGGTACTCAAATAGTGAACTGGATGAGATGATCATGTTTAACTACTGAATTCTT